TCTCCGTCTCCTTTCCCTGCATTTCATTATTGTACGTTACTTCGATGCCTTTTACTTGATCTTTGATATAATTTCGAATTTCTTACGTTTAATGTGCTACGCTCTAAACATGCAACTAGTTGGGAAACAGACGATTTTGTGTAACGATTGGAGCGACAATACTAAGATTTTATTTGAGTATTACATAACATTAAAGTTTTCAACAAATTCACCTGGCCGCTATATTTTTTAATTTAAGATCTTCATAAATAATATTGAATGGAAACTGTAGGTATAGTAAACTTTTATTATTGAAGTTAGTATTCAAAACGACAAAGGATTATGAAAACTGTCACGCTAAAAATATCAAAATTGGAAATAGTTATTTATGGTACTAGTGTGTTATCTTACATATAAGCCACGCTGGGAAATATTTTCTCAAGTGACATACAACTTTTCGCGTATGCCATACAACATTTTATCCAACTGCAGAACTGTTTCATGTCCAATCTCTAAATAATAATTGATTTAAAAGGATCTACCAGTTCTACTTTCATTGTTGCGAATTAATAAATTATCAGGGTGCGTTTATGTTACCATGCAATACAGATGTGCGTTTTGTAAAAGACAGGGTTTTCTACAATCATGACTTGAGCACAAAAACGAAACTTGCGGTGTATCGAGCAGTAATACTCCCCATCATGTTATATGGAAGCGAAACCTGGGTGCCGTACTGCCCGCACACGAGCGCATTAAACAAGTTGCAACAGAGACAACTTCATCATCATCATCATCATCACGCAGCCCCCTTTCACGTCCATAGTTGAACATAAATCTCCTCCAAACGTCTCCAGTTCTCGCGGTTTTTAGCTGTTGCAATCCAGTTAGTTGTTATTCGTTTCAGGTCGTCGGTCCATAGGGTGGGACCCTCTTCTGATATACGTGTCAAATACTCGTCAGCGAGTAATGGCAGTAAGCATTTTGTTTTTTGTAAATAATAAATAGCACTGACATTAAGACCTCATTTAGATAAATCGCAATTTTTTAATGATAAAAAGTGAATTATCAACCAGCTAGTCAGATTTTAAAGAAATATGATTCAGGAAGATCTTCCGCAAGTACTTGGGCGTTGTAGGCCCATCCTGAGCAATACACTGGCCATTGTATGAGAAGATCATCCCCTATACTATTGGCAAATGCACGAGTGAACATGACAACGTTAAAAAGACACGGAGGATGACGATCCGCAACGGTTGCGGAAGGATATATCGAAGAGTATTTTGTGTTGTATTTTTTACTAAGAGTGAGTCCCGGGTGGGACCCTCCACTGAGGCCGCGAGGGCCTATTGTGGCTCAGTTTCTACAAGCTCTTTAATAGAAAAAGAGCATTAAAGTTCGCCCTCAAGACCCAGCCTTTTAACATAGGCCGTTATGTCCGAGGGTGATATCTCTTCTAGGTCTGATAGGTCTAGCGTAGGTTTGCCAAACACCTCAAACCTGGTCCTGCCCCCAGCGGGGCAGGTACATATAACGTGCTTCATTGTTTCGTCATCTTCCATACAGAGTCGGCATTCGGCGTCTTCCACCAATCCCATCCTCTGTAGGTGTGATCTCAGCCGGCAGTGGCCCGTGTATACTGCAGTAAGCGTACGCGCTCCGTTCCTACCAGCCTTTAGGAGTTCATCTGTCCTACGTTTGGATGGCCCTGCTAGGATTGTCTTGGCATCTTCCATTCCGGGACTGTCATACCAGTCCCGAAACGTCACACCCCTAACCCATTCGCAGAGCCTGTCTCTTGCGATGTTTTTTGGTACGCTAAGTGTCGGTTCTGGGTCCACGAATGGCGAGCCTGCACCAGTTTTGGCGAGGGAATCAGCACGTTCATTTCCCTCTAGGCCGACATGTCCCGGTATCCATATTAGCGACACTTTGTTTCCATCTCCTAATATATTGAGTAGTTTCTTACAATGAAGAATCGTCCTGGACGTACTTTTCGTTGCCTCAAGTGCTTTCAACGCGGCTTGACTATCCAAAAATATGCTTATTGTTTTCCCGGTGTATTGCTGTTCTACCAGCAGTTGCACACAGGTTTCAATCGCATATAGCTCAGCTTGGAAAATAGTGGTGCGTTTTCCAAGACTGTGGTAGATCTCAGTCTTTGGACTGCTGCAGTAAATTCCTGCGCCAGATCCTTTTTCGTTTTTGGATCCGTCCGTGTACCAACACATTTCCGCAAGTAACAAGCCGTTTCTCGGCGTATGCCATTCGTCCCTATTCGGAAACAGGACGTTGTAGGTGCGCGTCAAGAGTTGGATTGGTGGTGTGAGATCCGAGACCATTCCCAGAATCTCATCCGATTGTAGTTCGTCTACTAGTCGGTTTTGTATGAACATGATTGTTCCTTGGCTCTCTCGTGCCATATATCGAAGAGTCCATCAACAATAAAACAGAGATTGCGAAAAAGATTCAAGGTGTTCAATTAATGTTAACTTAAAGAAATATTTGAATTAGTAATTTATGAATATTAATAATTCCTATATAAAATGGTATGGTTTTGAAGTTATAACACACTAGTGTATCAGTAGTAGCTGTTGGATAATTTTTTTTGCATTGTATATTATAGAAGTCTTTAAAATCGTCGTCAGCTTAAACAATCTCAAAAAAAGACGTCGCTATATAAATTAAAGAACGAACGAAAATCAGAGGAATCACACCAGCGAGAGCAAAAGAGCGACCGAAATGATAATAAAACCTCGAGCCTTTTAAGTTTTTATGTGTCTCTCCCTCTTTTAGCTTACGTCATTTGCTTTTAACAACTGCGAAACTAATGGATGCCACTGACGATTCTACCTTTCGGGCATTATGTAAGGTGAACAGAAAACCCGCTACCTAAGGCCATTATTCTTTCCCTAATCGATTCTCTCGGATATAACGGTAAAAAGGCGAGCTTTTTTATTTTCGCGCCCTCAAAGATGAATTCTGAAGCTCTATTTTTACATCAAAGCTAATTACCTTCTTTTGGAAAATATGCAGACTAATATTGAAAATTTCTGCATATGCAACATAGATATATAACCTTATATTAAAACATAATAATACACGTAACTAATTAACTAAAAAACTAAAATCTTATATTAAAATTCGCTTTTTAAATGTTACAGAAGTACTACATTAATTATTAGAATATAGAATGATTGGGAGGGGGATTAATCAGCGCGACCTTACAGATCTATTGTGTGTCCCTCTTTCTCGAGTTATAACTCATCGTACAGTCTTAGGCTTATGGCAAAAGCCAGTATCTCAGACGGCTTTACAGAGGCTAGTTCTCTATCTCCGCTATAAGTCCCACTAGTCTACTCGTAGATTTTTTATCTTATATTTTTATTAACAAAATATAATATTTGAAAAAAATAGTAAAAATATTCCTAGATACAAGCGTTCACTTGAATAAAATGTACTGAAAATTAAGATCTAATACGTGGCAACATTGGCAGGTGCCAGAGGTCTAGTGCCTCTGATCTAGAGGGATGTAGACGCTAGTCTATCAGACGTACTAAAGTTTATGTCACGAATGGTTGTTGTCTCGGCAAACTCAGTGATAAGCTGTTCTGGTGTTTCCCCATTTTTCCCCACAGAATCTACATTCGCCGTTGTAGCTTCAACCCACTGAGGCATTCGTTGAGGAGACAGTGTCCTGTTAAAAAAACCGTGACAATCGCTGAATGTTTGGAATCCCAAACATTCAGAGATCATTAAATTTCTATGAATCTTCATTATTCGTTATTTTTCCTATACTGAAGTTATTAACGAGTTCTATTTGGCAGTTACATCAAATGAGACTTAGGCATATCACTTTAAATAGAACAAACATTATTGGATCAATACAATAATGTTTCAATAAAATGAAAGCTACCATCTTTAAAATCTACTCTAAGACAAATAAAAATTCAAAAAGGAGAATTCAAAAAGCGTCCTCTTTAGGTCTCGAAATAATTAGCGATGGGAACTATCGAATGAATTAGACTATCGAATGGTTAATGAATGAATGATTTCAACTATCGAATGGTTTTATTCGAATAAAATCATTCATTCATTTGTAAACTAAAGCATATGTGACAACCTCGCCGTGCGACTAAATGGTTATCGTTGAGCCACGACTATCGAATACCAACTAAAAATTTTCTAAAAATAATAGCCAAAAGGACTTACCTAATGACAGATGCCGACTATGCCATGCCTTTCCGGAAACAATTCAACACATCTGCTCTGGATGTACCTATCTTGCACCGCGATATTATCTGGACAGGCACAACCGGGTGGCTAGTATTCTACACCAAGAAATCTGTAAAAAAGAAAATATTTTAAATGAAATTACACCCTACTACCGATACTTACCTGAAAAAATAGTAGAAAACGAAAACGTAAAAGTATACTGGGATACTGACATCATCACAGATCGTACTGTGCAGCATAATAGACCTGATATAGTAGTCTTCTATTAAAAACAAAAACATGCTTACCTGCTGGATATCACAATACCACTAGACGAAAATATTAAAAATGCAAGAAAAGAGAAAAACACAAAATATGAAGCACTGGCGCAAGAACTAAAAGCTATATACGATTTGAGCAAGACTTTTATATTACCAATAATATTTACCTGTAACGGCCTAGTAGACGTAAACCTTGTTCAAAGCCTTAAAAAACTCCAACTTCACAACCTGGAAAGAATCATCTCTACCATGCAGAAGTCCACAATTCTTTCTACCTGTTCTATCGTTCGCACTGTGTTGAACCGCGATTAGGTCGTTGATAAGAATTATCCCGACTTAGTGGCTAAAACCGGCTTTAAGCTATGAAAAAAAAAAAAAAAAATAATAATAATACTAATAACCAAACGTCGTGATGATCAGCTTGCAACAGATGACGACCCAGCACCGAATAATGGACTAGAACCCGCTAGAAGTGTTTTGCAGGGCATACGCCCTACAACCACCCTAGCAGGTAAAGCACGACAGAGGATGAAATGGACCGACGAAATTAACAAAAACCTACTCCTCTGTTACTTCACCGTTACTAATCTCCAACAAAATACAACAGGATATAGAAGTCAGTTATATCAGGCCTTTATGAACATCTATCCAGAACTTAGGGAAATGATCACAGAACAAAGACTATCAGACCAAATTCGAGTCATAATACGAAACAACAGAATATCTCCAACAGAAAGAGAAACTATAAGAAGACAAGCGGCCGAAGCCATACAAAATGAAGACGAACCACAAGCACAACAATCAGCTTCACCTACATCACACCCACAAACAATCACACCAGAAACACCCGAAACACATACCATGCTGACTAACACACAAAGTTCATCAGCAGAATCGTCGATAAGACACACCCAACACGAAACATCAATCCCGCCAACAAACACATGCCAACCATCTAACCAAATTGATGAAACATTTATTGAACTATACGCCCAATATCAGGGAGCAAACCCATCATCCAGACCTTTCATCACCAGACCACAAAACACACAAAACATCAAAAACACCATTGCAATAATTAATAACATCATAGGGAAAAGGACTGAGGAATCAAACAGCTGCCTAGACATTGAAGAAATTCTCACGCTCGTATACTGTGGAGCAGCTACAACTATGCGAACCCACGAACAGAAGAATAAAAACAACGACTTGACTAAAACTAAAGCAGCAATACCCCCATGGCAGCATCGGCTCCAGAAAAAGATAGCCACACTGAGGAAAGAAATTGGAGTCATAACACAACATTTGAAAGGAAACCTAAAAAAGAGACCCCCGCAAAACATATTACCAGATATCAGCTCAGAAGAATCAGTAGTAGAAATATTAGATACTAAAAAACAACAACTACAGGCACAAGCAAAAAGACTAAAACGATACAAGAAGAGCCACCAAAGAAAACAAGAAAACAAACTTTTTAACACAAATGAAAAAAGGTTCTACAGATCTCTCGAAACAACGGAACAGCAAATAAACAATCCACCATCATTACAGAAGTAAAAACTTCTGGGAAAATATCTGGTCACAAGCAGTAGAACACAACAGAGAAGCTCAATGGATAACAGAAGAAGAAAACAAGCAGATAAATACAACAGCCATGCCAAATGTAACAATCACCTTAGAAGACATCAAAGCTGCCATATCCAAGACACACAACTGGAAAGCACCTGGAGACTACAAAATACAGAACTACTGGCTAAAATCATTCACAAGCATCCACAAACCACTAACGAATATATTACAAAATTTTGTACAAGGAACGGAAGCCATCCCCTCTTTTTTAACTCAGGGAGTTACCTACCTTAAACCCAAAGGCACGGACACTTCACCCCATCTAAGTACAGCCCTATAACATGTTTATCAACAACCTATAAATTACTAACGGCAATAATAACAACAAAGATCAACACTCACCAGCAGAATAATAACATCATATCAGAAGAGCAGAAAGGATGCTGTCAGGGATCTAGGGGCTGCAAGGAGCAACTGGTGATAGATGCAGAAATACACACTCAAGCCAAATTAAAACGTAAGTCTCTACATTTTGCATACATAGATTATCAGAAAGCTTTCGACACCGTCCCACACTCCTGGTTCATACAAGTTCTACAAATATACAAAATCCACCCTCAAATCATACAACTTCTGCAGAGAATAATGGCAACATGGAAAACTACCCTAAACATCAAAATGAAAAAACAACTCATCCACACAGGACCAATTCAAATTAATAGAGGAATTTTTCAGGGTGACTCCCTCAGTGCACTCTGGTTCTGTATTGCGCTCAACCCCCTATCGAACCTACTCAACAAAACGCCCCAAGATGCTTATAAAATATCCTCACTCACACATTCATCTACCATCTCGCACCAGCTATATATGGATGACCTAAAGCTTTATGCAGCAACTAGAAAACAACTCAACAACCTTCTCAATATTACAGAAACATACAGTGAAGACATCCAAATGAAACTAGGAACAGATAAATGTAAAATAAACAGCATTATAAATGGAAAACACACGATACAGGAAGAATACATTCTACAAGACTCAAATATCATACAGAATATGGAAATGGATGAGACATAAAATACCTCGGATACCTACAAAAAACAGGATTAGAGCATGCCAACATAAAACAGCAACTAAAAAGCAAATACAAAAACAGAATAAAACAAATACTCAAAACAGAACTGTCCGGTCGAAACAAAGTGAAAGCAATAAATACCTATGCAGCGTCCGTCCTGACGTATTCATTTGGCGTTATAAAATGGAGTGACACAGAATTAGAAGAACTAAACAGGTTAACAAGAACAACATGTAACAAGTACCGAATACACCATATACACGCGGCAACAGAAAGATTTACACTAAAAAGAAAAGAAGGAGGAAGGGGATTCATGGATCTAAAGAACATGAACTACAAGCAAATACACACACTCAGAGAATATTTCAGAGAGAAAGCAGTTACCAGCCACTACACCGAAGCATTGTTAACCTAACAACATCAGGTACACCGTTACAATTCAACAATGAAGCATTCATACCAGTTGATGCAATTACAACAACAAAGACTAAAATTGAAAAATGGAAATCCAAAGCCCTACATGGAAAACATGCAAACCAACTAACACAACCACACATTGACATAGCAGCATCCAATGCATAGCTTACTCATGGTAACCTGTTTGGAGAAACCGAGGGTTTCATAATAGCAATCCAGGACCAGATCATCGCCACACGTAATTACCAGAAATACATAATCAAAGACCCCAAAACACCTACAGACAAATGCAGACTATGTCACACACAAACCGAAACAATAGAACACATAACCGGGGGATGCCCTATACTTGCTTCCAGACAATATACCCAAAGACACGACGATGTTTGCAGAATAATCCATCAGGAAATAGCAAAGAAATATTCACTCATCTGCTACCATACACCATACTACAAATATCAAGCAGCTAACGTTCTAGAAAATAAGACAGCCAAGCTCTACTGGAACCGGGATATAATCACAGACAAAACCACACCACACAACAAACCAGACATTACGCTCATCCACAAACCAACAAAACGACATACTTAATAGAGATATCCATACCAAATTCACAAAATGTCAAGAAGAAACACACTGAAAAAATTGAAAAATATATACCTCTAGCAGAAGAAATAAGGCAGATGTGGCACCAGGACATTGTAAAAATTATACCAATAATAGTGTCATCAACAGGACTGATCCCAAGATCATTACATGATAGTCTGAAAGGCCTTGAACTTGCACCAAAACTTTATATACCCATTCAAAAAACAGTTATCCTCCACACATGTAATATTACACGACAAGTCTTAAATACACAGTAAAAAGCGTTGACGCTTGACTTAAGTCCGCGACTACGTTAAATACCGGAAAGCACGAGATTCAAGAAGCTAATAATAATATAATTTATTATTATTATTTATTTACATTATTGGATCAATACAAAAATGTTTCAATAAAATGAAATCTACCATCTTTAAAATCGACTCTAAGACAAATAAAAATGAGGAGAATTCAAAAAGCGTCCTCTTTAGGTCTCGAAATAATATCACAAAGAAACGGTTAAAAACGAAGGTGGAATTACTCGGTGGCACAAAGTGGCGCCGCTGAATCAAATGGAGGTAAAGAAACGTAGCTGGAAGGGACAAAGAGACTGGAAACTTCGTATAAAACTTTTCTTTCATCAGCCGTAATGGTTTTCAATTCTTCTCGGCCGAAGGCATGACCTGGAGGTCGAAATGGAGCGGCGCGCGACACAGGTGGAGAATAATCTCTTATTACACTCCAGGAAACATATAACTTTTATTATAGGGGCCGCCCGAACTTTCCATCAGATTGCTTCCGAGCACTTTGCATTCTTAAAATTTTCAATTTACATTGTTGCCATTCTAATTGGTCATTCGTCTCGAAAGGTCTTTGTGGGGAGATCTTTGTCGTTCTACCCCCTTTTATTTACTTCATAGATTTTTTCTCTTTGACGGCAATAAAGAAAGCAATGCTGCGCACTCCAATATGAGCTAATATCTAGGATAATTAATTGAAAATAATTCTAGATTTTTCCTCACTAGAAAAGAATCTACAAAACAAAAAATCCAAAGGAGGCCAATTTATCACTGATATTTTGCTAATAACAAAAATTTATCTAACGCACAAAATGTTTAACATTTCAGGGGATCCCTCCCCCATCATTTTAGACCTAACACCTCTGCACATTGTAATCGGTAGATATGCCAATGCAGCAATGATCACTGACGGTAACAGTACTGAAAAAAATTTCAGGTCTGAAGCTTGGAAGTCCCCCAAAAAGAAAACTCCACTTCTCCATTTCCCAGCGGATGACATACCAAGAATGTACGACTTCAAAAAACACCTCAATGTAGTATTGAGCAATAAAAAAACTGGAATAGAGGAACGTTTGCTCGGCAGTTTAATGATCATACTATAATGTGGTATACTTATTCTTTCAAAACCAAAGCAGGAACAATGATATTATTATTTTTTTCCATAACAAAAGTCCGTCCTCTGCCGGAAACACTGCGACCTATGAGGCCTATTGTGTTTGTCCACTTTCTATATCTGCACCCACACTAAGAAAAAAAATTAGTAGATTTGCATGCAATTATAAACATAACTGTTACAATTTGTAGCACTATAGGATCCAACTACGGGTAGTAGTAAAATTGATTAGACCTTTGTAACAAATTGTCTGAGGCAATGACTGACGCAATTGAAGTAAAATTTCGTAGATAGAATATAGTAATATTAACTATATATAAACGGAATTTGGTTTAAGTATTTAATACTCATTTCCAACTACAGCCTATTGCTGCCTTCCCGTTATCCTACGCTACACATCTCGATTTAGAGCGTCATCAGCTTCTAGGTTACGAGCTTCCATTGCTTCCGTAACCGTTCCGTTCCAAGATTTTCTAGGTCTACCTCTCTTCTTTCTGCCCTGGGGAGCCCACTGAAAAACTCCTTTTGGCCACCTGTTCTCCGGCATACGCAGAACATGTCCAAACCATTTTAGCTGGAATTTTTTCGTTTCGATCTAGTACTGTTTCCTCCTATGCATTCATGATACGCCTGACCTCTATGTTTGTCTTTTTTCCATCCAGATGATGCCTGCTTATTTCTTCTAAGGTAGTTCCATTCAACAACTTGGATTTTGCGCTTTGCGTCTGCACTCAGAGTCCATAGCTCTGAACCAGTTTCGGTCCCACCAGAGGCTATTAAGACATCCAATAACTTGTTTGCTCTTCTGAATTCGTGTTTGTATTTCTTCTTTGCCAAAACCCTCGTTGTTGATAGTAGCACCCAGGTATTTAATTTGTCTACTTGTTGAAAATCTGGACGTTATCATCAATGAAGACTTCAAAACGAGCGTTGGAATTGACAGTTAAGTATTCGGTCTTCTTTGGACTAACCTGAAGTCCCCATTGTGTATTTCTTGGAAAGCCTTGCTTAGTCCGATGAACTCTAGAATCGTATGAGTCCTGCGTAATCACGACCTGGTCGTCTGCAAAGCTCAGGGTAAATACTGTGTTGTCCCCAATGGGTATTCCTATACCTTGACATTTCGTCTTCCATTCCCTGAGGGCTACTTCGACGTAAACGTTGAAGATCAGAGGAGACAAGCTGCCCCATCCTCGCGTGTCGCAACCCTTGTCGGGACTCTACCTTAATTGAGATTAAGATAGCCTGGTTCCTATCGGTTACATCTAAGTCACCTTCTTCTTCGTTCTAGATAGCGTGTGTTTATTATATTAAGCAAAGGTCTATTTACTTCTAAGATATTCAAGACTTCCCATATCCTGCTGCGGGGAATAGAGTCGTACGCTTTCTCGAAATCAATAAATGCTAGATGGACTTCTTTATCTACTGCTATATTTTTATTTCCATCACCTGCTCAGGACAAAAAGGTTTTCTGTGCAAGATTTCCCCCGTGTGAATC